AGGTGACATAGATACTTTATTATGGTATAGTATTTAAATGTGTGCCTGGGAAACACATAATGTTGGCCCTTTAAAATAAAAATTAAAAGAATAGCTCAGTTTTGATTACTCTTTAAGGCAGGCATGATGAGGACCGGCCAACTGTTTGATWTGCCTGAGAAAAAACGTGGACCAAAGATGAACCCATCGTCTCTCTGCTGTGCCAGATTGTCAACCCATTTCAGTCCTTRGTGATCTAATATCTTCTTATTGCCCACCCCTAATCTCGGCTGCGTTTTAGGAAATCTCACCTAATAGTCGAGAGAGTGTAGCATCCGTTAATGGAAAAGCCGAGCAGCCTCATAAACCGCAGATACCAGATTTACCCCTCAAACGCATCTCGGAGCCATCGCAGGGAGGTAAAGAGGACAGAGCTGCTATTTTTAGGTATTGATTGAGGGAAAATCTGCACGGCATTGTGTTTCTTTTCCAACAATCTTCTGTTATCGTTCCAAAGTCTTTAATTGGAACGACGGAAGCGTCTGGTATCTACATCTTTACGGTTATGGATAAAATGGGGACCCCCCCCAAAACTGTCGTACGTCTTTGTGCCGATGCAGAGATGAGAGTGCGTTGCATTGACTTTGTGCTTGTGTTACTCCTACATAGATACTGTATTGTCTCGAATTTATTTTCCCAAAGACTTCACGGCTTCTGCCTCTTTTCTCCGCCCTCCTCTSTTCCTCATATTTCCCTTTCTCTCCTTTTTTTCTTCCTTCTTCAGAGAGTTCAGAAGTTTCTTCACATTTTAGAGGTAATAAACTTAGCGTGTCGCAGTGTGTCTCCAGCTGCTCTGAGATCTGAAGGCTGCCTTTCTGTTATTCTCTGTCCTTGTCACATTCTTTGTCACACACACACATACACACACACACCCTCATTCATACACAAACACTCCTAAAACGTTCTGTATGCTTCCCCCCCTTTTTTTTTACCCATTTCTGAAATCTACAGAGGAAGAGGATGACGCCGGGTACCTGGATGTGGCGGTGTCAGACGTGAAGCATCCTCCCCCGCAGCTGAGCCCGATGCCAGAGGGGCTGACGAACCACCAGGTGCGGCTGACAGCAGCCCGGTCACACATGAAGATGTGTAATAGCTACATTGGTTCACCGCTTAGAACCCGGTAGTTTTATGAGAAAGGCTGTAAAATTGTGAGATTGCAATGTTTCTTCTGGGTGTATTGTTGYAGGAAGACTTGTCACCTTAGTAAATTGAAAATGGAGCTTCTGAACATGTGGTGGAAGTTGTGAAAGGGTCTGTTTGGAGCCAAACACACATATTTTTTGGTACAAAACCAAATCTAACAACCAAGTTCATCCTTGTGTTTAAGTCTTATTCTAACGCTGTTCAAGTTAAAGAACATCTTTTCTGTAAGGTGCTCGAAAAGGGCTTTAATTGTGAGTCGGTATATAAATAAACTGAATTGGATGAAACGATGCTATAATCACCTSTCCACCTCTTCTGGCAGGCTTTTAGAAGATTTTCTAGCTCATTATATAAATGCAGGTTTATGAAAAAAAATATGTAAAGGAATATGTTTTCTGCTCTTCAGTAGCTGCGTTTTACCTTATTTTCACACAAACATATTCTTATTTGTTTTGTTATAGAGGCTAATCTGTGCACTACATTTAAAATGTATTTACAGTACATTACAGTTAATGCACTTTTCTACTTAAACAATGTCTTTGTTAGGATTTTACTGCTCAACCTGTTGATGTCTCCTTTTATCACAATTAGTTTTCTWAATGCATCAAATCAATTTATTTGGAGACAAACTACGGTACTAATTTTTGACTACAAGAACCATGATTTATTATTTTTAATACATGCACAGTGTAGAGTGGAATTATTTTAGGATATAAAATCTGCATTTTCAGAGACTACATATCAACATATGTCAAACCAAAGGACATCTTCACTTTTGATCCTGTTGACTACCTTGGTACATAAATTATATTATTTAATCATATTTTTATCACTTGTTGCAGAAAGGTCAACAGGCCTCATGCAAGAAC